GTGGCGGGATTTCCTCCTATATAGCACTCAAAAGTAGCCTTACTCTGTGACGCTGTACTGTATATTTAGTAATACAGTATTATTAGAGATAGTTCCTCGATTCCGTTTCTGAAGAGCCTTATACGTTTGCCGATGTTGATATAGGCTATATATGAGCCTCGTTTCTGCTTAACGATAGGATAAGGGAACGTAGGGTTTCTTTTGAGGTCATATCGAGGTTGTCGGCCTGCGACACTTCGCACATTACCTCTCCATCTATTTCGATTTTCTTCCGTAGGTTGGGATCGGAATCGGACTCTATTTCGGTCATTTCCCATTTCGCGTCTTCTTGGGGAATCATTTCTCGGACGCGTAGAGCGATCATTATTGTTATTGTCACGTCGGACAGGCAAGTTCCGGTTCTGATTGTTTTGGGTGTGCGGTCGCTCGAATCGGCGATTGGGTATGGCCGGACGATATTCGTTTCGCCGGAAAGGTGGATTATTATAATTCCCACGATTATTTCGTCTTAATATAGGGCTTCTTGCATTATTTAAGGATGAGCCTCGTGTTAAACCGTCCATTCTAGCTTTAAGTTCCTTTATCGCGGTTGTCAGTTGCTCTAAATTGCCTCCACGAGGATGTGCGGTAAGATTTTCAATCCTTTCCTCACTAATCGCAGCTTTTAGAGCGTCATCAAACGTCTCTGGCTCTCGTGACATGACGCGTTGCCTAATTCGAATATCGATTCTGTTTAGGAATTGCGCTTTTAGCCGCTCGTCTAACTCTTTCCCCTGGATCCTCTGAATCATAAGTTTCAGCGGAATTTGCCCCAGGGTCTGGCGTAATCTCTATCTCTATAGCTACTGCTTGAAGCCGGGCAGCGTACGTTTGTACGTCCTCCTCTTTCCTTTGTACGCATGTATAGAATTTATTCAAGAGGAATGAAAAGGTTTCTCGTTCAAAACGGGTTATCATTATTCGTTTAAATTCATCAAACTCTTCTACCTCTTTAATCCGACGGTCTTTTCTTACAAAGTCCCGAGCTATACCGGTAAATTTTAACTTAGCTATCGCCAGCATTTCCGCCTTCGGCCAAGCCGCTACCTTCGTGACATCAGCCAATGAGTCAAAAAAGTATGTAACTCTGAGGCCTCCCGTTTCTCCAGAGAATACCGGCAATAAAGGAATTATTCCACCCAGACCTCCCAAGGTGATTGGGTTTGGATTAGGATTAGGGTTTGGATTGTCTGCCCCAGCCGTACTATGGGGATCGTCTTCCATTTTGTCTACCGATATCAAAATCTACTTCCTATAACGACTCTAACAATTGTCCTAATTTTAAAGTCCCTAATTCGAGTGGAATCGACCTTTCTACTCGAATATAGCCTTTTTCCGCCTTACAGATAGTTCGAAAAAGTCGAACCCCACTGCTGAAAAACCAATTTGTGGGTAGCCCCTGAGGTAGGTCGAAGTCGTACCTCTGTCGGGTCGTTTTACAGGTTGGTTAAGCCTGCCCACTGGTCAAAGGATGGCTTGTCTAATTTTTTTCTATCCCGAAGGGTCGGGATTCTTTTTGTCAGGTCGAGTGGAGGAGGTGAGAGGGGTCGTCGATAAGACGGTTGCAAATATTCGAGTAAAAGACACCATTTAACATATAAACAAAAATTTATTAAAGAACGAATACTGGGATACAACGGTTAACTTCGATTTTCTAATAACCTAGTCTGCTACCCTTCGACTGATTAGGGGGGGATCCGAGAGAGAGTTTACATAAAGTCGTTACCATACCTCTTCGATAATATAGACTGAGTACTCTTGGAAATGAAGCCTTCCGTTGTCGATATTATCGGGACCGGTTTCTTGGCCAGGCTACTGAGGCGAAGGGGTCACTCAGGATTCACTCGGTGAGGGACACTTCGAGGATGCGTGCTCGATAATAGTCGGCGATGACGGACGCTTGACTCCTCGACGACGATGACGGACCCCTTCTTCTTTCGTCACCCCTCTTTTATATCTCAAGTCACGTTATTTTTTTGCGCCAATCGCAAATTTTTGCGATAAGTTCCCTGTGCTTCATTCTCGAGTTCCGGAGAGAAAGGAAACGACTCCAGGGAAGGAAATGTGTTCATCCTTTTGTTATAAGATATCGACGAGATTTCGAAAGAGGGGGAAAATGGAGGGTTTCTTGTTTAATTTTATTCGGTCCGACCCTCACAATTACATGTTTCTAGTTAGATAACTAGTTCGGAAGTGGTATAAAAATTTTTTTCATCAATTTACAGTAACCAGACTTACACCCGGTCACAAAACACTTATTCGGCATGCTGTTGTTTCTTTTTCTTGTAGAAAAAATTACAAAAATGGTTGAAAATGGCAAATTTACGGATCGAAAAATCGGATTCGAACGGTAGGCTGCCACCTTGACCGCTCAGCCGTCCAGCCTAGTCGTGGTATCCTCTTCTTTTATGAATCTAAAGGTTATTTTTAGCTATTGGATTTTAATCCAAATATACTTGCCGTTAGTCTAACACATTCAAACATTTCGCTTCTCAGTCCATCTTAATACTGATTATTTACGCTAGATCTCAAGAAGGCAAGACTTTCGTCTTGACTTGTTCTCTAATATTTTAGAAACTTGGTTTCCGATGTTCGATGGAGTTGTCATTATGGGGGACGTCGGTTACGAAATTGACACTTTTTTAATACTGTATAGCGTCACTACATATTTACGATGTGAGGAGATCAAAGGATCTAAAAGTTGACACTCATGGCAGACTGTTTTTACAATGGTTAATTGAACACGACCTTATTCTTCTCAATGGGCAAATCAGAGATTATCCTGGTGAATTGACTTATCTTTTGAGTATTGGTAGTTCGATTATCGATTTTATGATTGTTTCTCAAAGCATATGTCACATAATAGAATCTTTGAAAGTTGAAAATCTGCCGCTATCGATCACTTCCCTGTGACCTTGTATTTGTCTGGTAGTTCTGGAATGCCTTTTGGACGGGAAGATTAGTTTTTCGAGTGATTTGTTTGAAATGAGTTCAAGGAACGAGCATTTGCCGATGCTGTTAGGTCATGTTTTCAGAGTAGGAGATTTGCTAATGAATTGGTAGATGATTTTTATAACGTAGTAATCGCCGATTTGTGCTCCTTGGCAGGAAACTTTGGCATTTTAAAAGGAGTTAGTGTTAATAATGTCCATTGTTCTCCCTGGTTTGAATATAATTAGAATTAAAAGAAAATTATAATTAAATATAGCTTTGTAAAGAAACGTACATAAAATAACATAAAATCTTCTTTACTTTTTAAATCTTAAAGCAATCCACTTAGTCAAATAGCTCCCTACCAGTGACTAATGGATGGAATTATTGAAAGCATTATACGATACAGTATTTTGGCGTGTTGCATCCACCAGCTAAACTGGGTGAGGTTGGTGCTCTGTAAAGCGCCATGCGCGAATGCGTGTAATCTGGCTGCTTTACACTATTCAAATATTTTCGCCGTGGAAGCTGTCCCGTATTCGACAATTCCCGTATTGACGTATCGAATGTCCCGTATTGACGGTGCTTCCATTGGGAATATGCATATATGAATATATATTCGAATATCAATAGCAATCTTATCGTTGTTTTTCACGTGTATAGAAATTTGTAATAAAATACATAATGCGGTTATAATACAATATTAATTTTAATTAATTCAAAGTACTGTACGTTAAAATATGAAAATAATCGCACAATGTATATTTATATTTTAGAAAATACAAGGGAAAATGCAATGCCGTCCATGGAAGCTGTAAAAGCGGTGCTTCCACAGCTTCTACGGACGGCACGCCATTGATACAAGGTTTATTTCTAGGGCTAGATGCAAGGTTTGTTACTAGTTTAGGAAAGGGAAGGGAAATTGGAAAGGGGTTTTTCACAGGATGATGCCCTTAGCCATTTGCTGTTTGTCTGTTATGTAAATATCATAGTGCAAACTTTTAATGACTTAAGAGACGATACCATTACCTTGGGTGGCTTTGACATCATCATCAATTTGCAGATGATACAGCATTGTCAAAAACATTGGTCTACTTTCAGAGAAATATCGCAGCTTAATATCATAATATTCATCTTCTTTGGATCTAAAGATTAATTTCCATAAATCCAAGATTATGATTTTCAGACGGAGGACGGCTAAGAAAAACGGATAGGTTTTTCATCAACGGTAAAGAGATTAGCATAGTAAACGAAGTGGTATACCTGGGCATGCATTTAACAGTATCAGATTCCTTTGCTAATTATGTTTCCTTTGTCAAGGGTAAAGCTCTCTCCACTTAACAGGACCCAATCTATCCTATGCCCAATACAAAGCTCTCGACGCCATACATAGAATGTGTCTTTATTAATAAAAAGCAGTCTTAAAAATTTTACTTTTATTAATAAAAATAACATTAATTTTATGGGGATAGGAACTACTACAGGCTCCTAAGTTTTTTCTGGACCTAAGGGAAAACTCCCCAGCTCTCCTCTTGTCAACCGCCTGCATTCATACAAGCAGGCTAGATTGGCTATTTTACAAATTTCCAAAAGAAAAATATCATAAATCAGTACATGTCAATAGGATATTATACATATATATGAAATCTCTATACAGAGTACCACCCTCCAAAAAATTCCTAGACTTTTTCGACCCATCTAGATTTGATCCCAAGTTCCAAGTCCCTTAATCACTTGACCATCCAGCTATTGATTTGATTTGGCTACATAGAATTTTCTAGAAAGGAGGAATCTATTTTCATTGCCAAAAAAAAAAATTATAATTCTGATTCTATCAGAATCAGAATTATAATTTTTCTGATGACAAATAATGTCATTTTTCTTAATAAATAATTTTCCTAAAATAAATCAGGCTTGTTTATTTTGTTATCAGTATTTTATACTGAAATCATTTAGTTTCCTAGAATAATTATGATCATAATTAAGTCCATGGAATTATCTGACAATTCACTAATTTAATTTTTTTACAGGAAAACTTAACTTTACCAACAATACATTCAGAACGTGAATCGAGTAGATATATTAGCAGATTAATGATCGATCATATTCAGATTGACGACAGAGGAGAATATATATGCTACTACAGTGATAAAAACTATAAAGAGAATACTAATTCAGCTTCAGTGAAAGTTTTTGTTAATGGTAAGTACTCTAAAAAAGATTAATGTGGAAAGTGAAAATTCTAAAATTACATTTTGCACAGAGACAATACCTTAGCTGATGAAGTTTTAACTAAGTAATAATTATTTCCATTTGTACTTTTCATTTTTTATGAATTTGTATATTATAGGATGGGTGGCGGCGAACCTATGGCATGCATGCCCAAAGTGCCATGTAAGGAAAAATCATCTGACATGTGTATCGTACAATTTCGATTTATCATCTGTATTTTTCAATCATCCTTTTGGTTTATCGCCAGATCATTTTTTCAATCAGCTTCTTTATTTTAATTAAAGCATATTTGTTTAATTTCTTTAAATATCATTATTCAAAGTTCAAAACTTTGGCACACAAACAACTTTAAAGCTAAGTTTGCTTACTAAATGGCATGAGAGCTCAAAAAGGTTCGCCACCCATTATAGGACTAAATGTAAACATTATCAAATGAAAGGATCAATGATGTGAAGGTCGCCGAATTGGAGATATTCAAATATCAAGATTTATCGTATGTGGGGTGAAGGAAAAGTGAGGCAGACAGCTGCAGTGACAAATAAACCCGTTTATTTATGCTAAGTGCGTCTCGTCCACTGTAGGAGCTGGACCGTAGCACGTTCACGGCGTCAATAGATAAACGTTTAGGCAGTTGCTGGGCGTTACGAGTCACGGGTGACTCGTAGTCTATTTTAATACAGGGCGGCATGAGTCACCCGTGCCTCGTACTATTAAATTAATATATTTTATTTCACCTAATAAAATAATATCGATATATCAAGTATGATGTCTGTAGAATTATGTTATCAAAACATATGCGCCCCCCACGAAAAAACAAGCAATTATGTCTGTAGCCCTAACTAGACATATCCATACGAGTCACATGTGCCTCGTAACGCCGTGAACGTGGTAGAGTTGATGGCCCCGGAGCGGTCAATCGAGATTAGGGTTTCTCATTTCCCGGTCTTTTGCTTGTCCCGGGATTCCAAGATAAAAGTGAACTGTATCCCGGGAAATCCCGGGATAGAATTAATTATTTTTAAGGTATACAAAATATCTTGAAATTAAATGATATAATTATTTTTCATTTTTTAAAGTAATTTTAAAGTTCTATATCATCCAAAATCATATTAATAATGCTGTGTAAGATATATAATAAAAATTACCTTTGAATTACGTATAAATTTTCACAAATAGAAAAAATTTATTAAAGTTTGCTGGAAACTGCATACAACAACAAAAACAACAACAACGCTTTGAATTGAGTTAAAAATTAAAAAGAATGAACTTAGATCAAACTTATAACTTAGAAGGTAATTTTCGTTTTTTAAATAAAATATAATACAAAATATTGTAAACTTTTATAAGTTTTAAAAAGCAAAGATGATCAATACTCCGATCACTCACTCTAATTCTTATTTTAGTAATGAAAAGTCTTGCTACCGAGAATGCCCTTTCCGATTCAATTGATGTGATTGGAATCGTGTTTAATGCATTTAAGAGAAGACAGATATTGTGTGTTTTTTCACCTGTAGCCTGGAAGATTTCGAGTTCGTTTTCGAGATTGTAATACTTCTTTTGCTCTCTAGTATTTTTTATTTGTCTACCTCGGCTGCTTTAATAGCGGCATCAAGCTTATAACTCAATAATTCGGCAATTCGTTTGGCTTTAATAATCAGGTTTATGAAGAAAAACTTCATACTTGCAGACTTCATATTCGTTTGTATCCTTGCCCAATTTGCACAACCTGGCATTACGCATTTATTGAAGCTACTGGGCATGGTTAAAAATTAAGACAGCGTAAGCACAATTATTCCATATATTACAGGTTCTGACAAGTAAAGAATTTTCAGAGTCCTGCCACAAATAAGCTACGTATTGATTATTGACCATTTGTGACATGACATAACGAGCAAAAATTAAAAAAAAACTAATAGGTAGGTTTAAAATTAATAAATATAACGGTATTCTGACAGTGAATGAGATAATTATGCTTTCTATTTGCAAAATTTCTCAACCTTAACACAAAATAAGAAAAAAGAAAGTGAATTTTTAAGAAATTTGCAGGATTTCCCGGGATAAGAAAAATTTCCGGGTTAAAAAAACAACCGGGATTCCGGAATCCCGTTTGAGAAACACTAGTCGAGATGCTTCTATGGGTGTTGGGAAGTTTGGTGATGAAGTGTTTGAAGGTAGAACAATGAAGACAAGGCAGATAACTTCACAAAGGAGGCAGAGCTGGGAAAAGTCTATCTTTGTACTGGAGATCGAGGCTTTTAAAGGATTCTTCCCCGGATCAGTAGCTTTCCATTGGTCGGTTTCTTGTATCCAGGTGGATAACAGACCATTTCGGGCTACAAAGAATCGAATTCGACACTGCGTTTTAATCCGATCAAGGGAAATTAATAGCACTTTGAAATTCCTGCTTGTATCTAACTGCTTGTTTCGAATTCTTGTCTGACACATAATCTTCTTCACTATATCTCCTTTTAAGGTTATTTTAAGACTTATTTTTTTCTTTCTCTCGATTAATAATTTTATTACAGTATATCTCGGCAGATAAGACTAGTGTTACCATCCGTCTGGTTTTCGCCCGGACAGTCCGGGAATTGACTCACTATCCGGTGAACTATTAATTTTGTCCGGGAATTTTGTAGAAATAGTGAAACTATTACGAAACAAAGTTCTTGCAAACATTTTTATAAATTACACTATTTTAACATCGAAAGAACTCACACTCACTGAAACTCATCTGCAATTCTGCCATGTTAGCCTGTTTATCAGTGGCGTGTCGTGACATTTGATGATAGGGAAGCTGTGTTTCTGTAAGAAGCCGACATCCAGGGGCAATCAGTCAATTGCGCGTCAGTGACGGTCTAGGGTCCATTCGTATCGTTTATTCGATAAGCCAGTAAAAACCGTAGACTTCTCTAAATGCATTTTTAATATCACAATTACATTCCGAATCGCTAGCCACGATATAAGGGCTACAATTAAAAATAAAATAATAAAAACTTACTTCGTGAAATAAAATATGTGGTGGATGTACCGGTACATACCTGGTACAAAATATTCTTCAATTGTATGAATATACTTTTAAAGAAAATTATAATTAAATATAGCTTTGTAAAGAAACGTACGTAAAAACATAAAATATTCTATACTTTTTAAATCTTAAAACAGTGCACTTAGTCAAATAGCTCCCTACGAGTGGCTAATGGATGGAATCGAAGACGGTTGCAGAGTGTGCATACAAGCGGAATGCCAAATCCCCAGGGTGCCGATACCGGTCAATGTCAAATACCTCTTTTGTCGCATAACTAGTAATCTCAAAGGAGGCGACAGGGCTGTTGTAGATTTTAAACTTTTCTCACCATAGCTGTAAAAATCTAAATATGTTAAACTTAATAGTCATTTGTTTTCTAGACCGTTTTAGGACCAAGTGTCCTCAGAAATTTCCAAAATTTACAACTTTTCGGTCACTCCCGTTGAACTGAAAAATTTCTGTCTTTATTACATTAATGATACGAAGAAATCAGTAACCACTGTACTCTGTTAGAGATTGGTTCGGTTAAGCTTGTTTAATTTAAGTAAAATTCAGCTCTCATCAGGATTTTATGTCCCCAATTCCCTAATCGCTTAATTATTTAACTACTACTAAAGTAGAAATAAGTCGAAACCAGTTACTTTGTATTCGAATATTTGTAGTCTTGGTAAAAAAGTGGAAAGACAAATTTTTATGACAACGGATACATAAATCGTAAATTTAAGGAAACTAAATTCTAGAGCTTTTTCTGTACCTCGTGCATCTCTCTCATTCATTAAATTTAGCTATAAATGATGCTACCAAAATAACAGTTAATTTTTTAACATCGTACAAGAATTGTACACGTTTTTTTCTACATCCCCTTAAACCAGTGATATTACGATTTCGTATATCCCATCTTTAACATTGAAATCCGTGAGTAATATAAAATCGGAGAGCGGAATAAAAATATCAAATATTTTAGTGGATTTTTTTAAACTCCTGTCAACTATACAGAACTATCATAAAAACATACCAGTAAATTCTTATCGGTTGGGTTAAGCTATAAATCTACTCGTGATTCGCATAATCGGGCGAGGGAAGCCAAATATCTAGCGGGCAGGCGGCTAACAGCCCAGAACTGGTCCTGGATAGAATTGGATGCGGTATACGTTTAGCATCCACCCGAGGTCATAGGCTTCCACCGGTTAAACCGGGTGAGGTTGGTGCTCTGTAAAGCGCATTCGCGAATCCGGCTGTTTGGATCTGACTGCAGCGCTTCCACTCCGCCACTAATATTCGAATATACAATAGCAATCTTATCTTTTTTTCCACGTATAGTATATAATTTTGTAATAAGATACATAATGCGGTAATAATAAAATATTGTGCGATTATTTTCATATAATTAAAATTAATATGTATTTATTTTTTAGAAAATACAAGGGAAGCGGCGCATCCATCGCTTCCAGTGATGGCACGCCACTGCTGTTTATGCGGACGTGTGGCATGCAACCTGTCACCCTCCTTTTTTTGTTACCTTGTACGATCATACTCATGTATCTAATAGAATTAAGTTATCTGTATCTGTTCTTTCATAATTTAGGTTACTTACGTTACTCCTACGCAAGTCCCTAGTCCCTAACTGTAACGGATTTAGAACCGACATGCACATTATTCTTTGCATTGTAAAATGACATTGCGCATGCGTCAGGAACTTCTGTTCAAACAAACCTGACCTTCCGTCCGGTCAGAGATTTTGAAAAGGTGGCAACACTAGATAAGACGATAGTGGAATCATAAAAAAGGCCCCGAAAATCCGGGTTCGTCTTATAGGACACATACAAAAAAAATTATATTGAACTTTATATAAATTAAAACCATTAACCGTAATTATTTACTAGTAGAGAGTAGGGTATGTATAAAAAATAGAATAGAATAGTCCATACGACGTTTTTGTGAATAGTCAAGATCATTACCCGAATGCCCGAATCAGTGTGAATGTTTGCAACAATCGCAAGGCAGTGCTGCCAGATGCAAGAAAATAAAATTTGATGTTTTTTCAAAAAAATTACGAATAGGACATGATTCAGTATACTCTAGACAGTGTTATTATCCAGATGATGATCGCTGATCTAATTCATAGGCCGTTGATTGTTTGGGGGTCGTCTTATAGGACAGATTTATGCTAAAACTATAAAACTTCGACGAAAATTTATACCTCGTCTTATCTGCCGAGATATACGGTATTTCCCGATTTAATTTAAGTTTTTCTTCCAGCTTTTACGAGTGTTAGAATCAAAGCCCGATCCCTTGATTTGACACTTTTGCTACATTTTTAACACGTGAGCATGAGTGTTGTTGGGGCCTCACAATGAAAACGTGGCACAAATGATTATTTTTGAAAAATAAATAACTGTCATCAATTGTGGAGGAGATAAATGACATTGAAGAAAATTTTAATGAAAGTAATAGATTTTTACTTGTTTCAATGTTGAGAAAAAACAAATATGAATAGTGTGAGGCAGAGCCAGCCCTACCATAGGGCGAAAGGAGCAGCCGCTCCAGGCGCTTTGTCTTAGGGGGCGTTTCAGTGGTAAAGAAAATTAAAGGGTATAAATTTGGGGCAACCAAGGGCAGTGGCGTAGCGAGGGGATCCAAGGGGGTCCCCTCGCTACGCCACTGCCTAAGGGGATCCCGGTTGGATCCCCCGAGGGGATCCAACCGGGCGCCACTCGCAGAGGGGCGCCCAAATGTCTCCAAGACAAACTATATGTGTTTCTGGAGGGGGGCGCCAATAAAGTGTCGTGCCCCGAGTGCCAGTTATGTTCGCTACGCTACTGACCAAAGGGGCGCCATAATAGGATCTCGCTCCATCCTAAAACTTGCCTCGGGCCGGCACTGGTGTGAGGTTCTAGAATGGGTTGAAACTAAAATTTAATTTCAAATTAATTGAAAGTGAAGACGCTATTGTCGAGTTATACCAAAGGTCATGTAAGGTGTGTAAGAGAGGAAAAAATTGTAGTTTTCAAAACAAACTTGATGCAAAGATGAATGATGTAACGGATCAGACAGCGGAAAGGTAGAACTCTGACACAAGTGCTCATAAACAGTCGATCTAGATTAAAAATTCGGAAAACAGGAACGATTCAACGGATATAAAAACATCACGTGCGATCATTAAAGTTCCAAAATGACAGAAAGTAAAAACAACGGACTAAATTATAAGTGCAAGACTGATAGTTCTATCAATCTCCAATCAGAGTTGATGAATAGGTGTCGAATAGATGCCTCAAATCGGACCTTTCTCGTGACTTGATCAAGTCTCGGTTTTAACCCAGAGACAAAAAGGAGACTAATCGTGAAGCAAGGAAGGGGATACAGGACCAATCAAAAGGTGAGATTTGAGGGGAAAATCCTATAAAATCCCTGAATCTCAAGATCAATGGGCAGTTCTCCTCAAAATTTCAGGGCAATTAATCCGTGTTGTACCCTCTGGATTACTCCTACTCATTCTGACATCACATTGACGGAATTGGACTTTTCTTCATTCACGGACTGTGCCAGGCTCTTGAACAGTTTTCCTGTGGATGGTGAACTTAGTCACCCAATCAACACACGTGTAAACTTACTATTTACTATAATAAATGGGTTTTTGTAAAACACTTGTTATCTCTGTCTCCGCAATAATGATAATAATAAAATTGATTGTACTTATTTTATGTAAGGGGAACTTAAGCTGTACAAGTTATATGAATAGTAAATAATATATTATTATGCAATTAATTTTTCATATTATTATTTGATATATATTTTTTATTATAATAAAGTTTGCAATGTATTTATATTACTTTAAGTAATCTTATAAGTAAAAAGAATCTTTTTACTCTAATAACATACAAAAAAATTAATTCAAAATTAGATGGATAATAAATATGCAATATACTGTATATGTAATAGGTAAGCAACTATATACAAATATTTTTTCTTTTAGTAACAATAATATATTTTTAAGTAACGTTAAAATTTGTCATTAGTAATATATTCAAATTAAACATTCTTTTATTTGTACTACTATTCCCCGAACTCCTTAGATATAGCTAACAGTATTTGATTGTTACAGGTGATTACATTTTGAATTAAACAATTTGTTTATATCTTTTATATATACATATATATTTTTAAATAAATGAATTATTTTTATACTTTCTAGATCCAGATAATTTGTTGATANATTGATATTTTTAAATAAATGAATTGCTAAAATCAAAAATAGTTGATGTGCACAAAAATATAGTAGAAGTTAATTAAATTCTTGTGTTCTGATGATTTAATTATATATATATTTTTAAATAAATGAATTATTTTTATACTTTCTAGATCCAGATAATTTGTTGATACCTCAAAAAGTCTTCTATTTGTCTTGGTGTCCTAATAAATCTATAGTTGTACCTTGTATGCCAACAAATTCAATGGTCAATATTACATTATGGGCAAATGGACAGGAAAATGGAATTATGATTCATATTGATAACATCACTCATTTCAATCCTTTTGAAGGTTTTGTTATATCAATTGGTTTAATGATCACCACTATTGAATGTATTGGAGAATTAAATAATGTTATATCAGAACCACAAATATTTACAATTCATCATAGTAAGTAACAGTTAAATTACATTTATAGTTATTGTATCAAATTTGCTTTGAAATATATTTGTTTCAGATAATTCTTATTTACTGATCAGGCCAGTCTGTTGAATGCTTTTTTTAAATTTAATTTAATTTTTATAAATTCAAAGCAAAGAATTAGTTCCTTATAGTTAGTTTCCACATAATCTAACATTTTAAAAAATAACTTGAGCTTCTAACAATAATAAAAATCTATTATAAGATAAAAAGAAAGTAAAATAACAGTATTTGATAAAATTATAAAATGAAATCAATCAATAAGCAAAATTTCATATTTTATTAAATCAAAAAATGGATATGCAACAGATGATAGTGGGACAGAATATATTCCAAAGTTAATTGTTATGTGAGAAATACACTAGTCTGTCCTTGACACAAATAAGTACAGTATTACAAAATTGTGATACAATGTTGCTCCGTCTTTTAACTTGATAATTGCATTGAAATATGCTGGGAGAGTTTCCACAAGATGTTGATACTACTTTGGAGATATAGCAACGCATATTGCCTCAATTACAAACTATAATTCCTCAAGATTAGTAGGAAGAAGATCTTTCTTCAGAATAGTTCTTCCAACAGCATCTCAGAGATGTCAAGTTTAACTCAGGAGACCTAAGAGGCTAGAAAATGATACTGAAGTCTATAGAATGCTCATCCAGCCATATCTGAATGCTCTGTGCTCTGTGTGCCATCAGAGAGCTGTTTCCAGTCAATATTGTACTAAAACACAAGAGGACTAGCATCTGCCCAACTAAAGATACCTCACACCAAACTCATTCCCATCAGCTTCACATTTCCCATCTTGCATGAAAGATCCATAGCTTAGTGAGGTTTTTTCCAAATGCACACCACTCAACAACATAAAACAGATGAAAGCTGAACTTATCTAACTAGACAACTCTGCCATTGAACACTAGTGCAGTGTTCTCTAGCCCAGATAGTAGTGTTACCACCCAACCAGTTTACACCCAGACAGTCTGGGAATTGTCTCATTGTCTGGGTGAACTATTAATTTTGTCCAAGAATATCATGCGCAACCTGTCAATGTTTTTTTTTTTGCTCGTACGATTCGTATTGGTACACGTCTCCAATATCCAATAGAGCTAAGTCATCTGTAGTTTTTTTTTTTTTAGTTTAGTTACTTACGCTACTCCTACCCAAGTCTCCCTAGTCCCTAACTGTAACTGATTTAGAACCGGCATGCCCTGCACGTTATTCTTCACATTGCAAAATGACATTGCGCATGCATCACGAACTTCTGTTTGAACAAACCTCACCTGCTGTCTGGGTCAGCAATTTTGAAAAGGTGGCAACACTACCAAATAGCCTTATGGCACAGTGACTAGCTATTAACAAGGACACACGAGTTGAATGACAACTGCCCTATATGAGTACAATGCATTGAATGATGGCCAAAGATGAACCAGTATTAAAACTGGCTATGATCTGGGGTAACGTGGTCTGACAATTATTGATTCCAATTTGTGACAGCCAACTAAGGCCTTGAACATCAATGTAGGGATGTAGGGTTTTTGTCCACAGGAATAATGTGGATTTTTTGTTAGATGCTAGGTAGTCATTGTAAATACTTGATACAATTACACAGGAAAATCCAAATGTAGCAGTCACCTCAGAGATAGAATGGCCTATCCATCTTACATCTACATCCACAACCAATCACTTATATTTTTATTTACCTATGTTTATCAGGAACAGTTTCCTGTTTATGCTATGGGTATTTATTTTCTTATGTTTTCATGTCAATGACAGATGAGGTTTTAATTAACCAAAGGGAATTACAAAGGAAAATATGCTCAATAACATTTATATGTAAGGTAACAACTGCTATTTTACAACTGGTTATTATTAGACAAAAATAAACATTGCAAAAACCTAACATATAGTTTATGGCTATTTTATAGCAGGTGGCCTTGTAATGTAGCCATAAACTATCATGATGTTGACTCCTTTCCTACTGCCTGAAAGTCTTTCTACAAAATATAAAACCCCCTCCTCTCTTCTTACACCATACACCCCTTCCCCCACACACATATTGGGCAATCCCCTGTGTCTTCTCAGCAGTTTGTTGCCTGACAATACCTGTTTAACACCAGTAAAAATGTTCGCACTTTGTGTATAATTTTCTCGCTGGTTTGTTAGTTTTTGCAGTGTTTATTTTTGTCATATGTACAGTATTTTCTTAATAAAGAAGTTATTTTTGCAATTCTCAATTTATTTTCTTTTTTCTTCTTATTTATATTTATATTTTTTACTATTATCACATTTTTATTGAAATACAAATTATAGATAAAACTAACCTTTCCATTAAAAATGTTGCTTTGATAATTTTTAGATTAAAGTAGCATAAGAAAATTTTATTGTTTTCTTATTGGATCAGTATTAATAAATAAAATGCTAAGTGTTGTTTGAATTTTCTATCAACTAAGAATTAGTTTGTTTTAATTGTAAAATTGTTCGAGAATAAAAATAATGTGCTTTTTTGGAATTTTTCATGATAATTCTTCTTTATCTGTGTTCAGGTGTTCCTGGTATTATTCCTCATATAAGTATATCATCAGAACCAGATCGATATGCATTAATAAATGGAAATTTAACTCTGACTTGTTCAGTAAATACACCTGATATCATATATCGGCCAGAATGGGAAAACATCAGGAATGAAACAGTTGAGTAATTTATAAAATTTTATAATTCTAAATGTGTTTCTTGAAGATTTGAATAACTCAGAACAAATTAAATCAAAACCTTTTCCTTATGATTTAATACATATAATAATAATAATAATAATAAATAAAAGCTTCTCTTAAAAACTTATTTGCTATGATATTTGGTAACTATTCTTTTATATTCTTTAGAGCAGTTTTACTTCCATTACTGTCTGTATTGCAAAAGTTAAAAGAATATTTGACTAAATGAATTAACTATATTGAAGATGCCAATGAAGAAGATCAAATATTGATAATTCTTCAAGATTAGGTAGTTAATGAAAATATCAAAAATGGCTACATGATTAATCAAAAATATTGGCTCATTCCATATAAAAATTATCAATGTAAAGATTCATACTTTTGATGAAACTCAAAAATTAAGAAGAAAGATAATATAATAATATTAGGATAATGTAATAAAAAATAAAAAAGATAAGGCAATGGCAATACAGAAACCTTATTTCATTATTATTTCATATTATATTATATAATATTTTTCTCATTTAGATGTGATTAATCACAATTATAATTTCATTAGTAAGATAAATTATGATAATATATCCATCACATGCCTTCTGTGAGAATACAAATTTCTTAAAATATTAGTATTGAATCAAATGTGGTCTCAAATTTCATTTGCACAGTTTAAATAATTTAAAGTTTTATAGAGAATAAATATATGGGTATATAGTTCCAGTTGGCTAGAAAAGAACAGAAACTTTCTTCTTTGAACTTACATTTATCATCAAAAAAGTCTCTTTGACAAGGATTTGCAAGCATGGTTGTTGGCAGCTTTTTGTTGCTGCTGAATTGTTCCTCTCAAAAAACTTCTTGAAGTGCAAAAACAGGTGGAAGACAGAATTTATACAGTGGGTGTTCAAAAATTTTCCACTTGAGTTATTTCAGTGATTTTTGTACGTTGCGAGAAGAATGTGGCCATTGCATTATTATGAAGCAGCCACTCTAGAGCTTAATGGACACTGTCTTTTGTTTTGAATAGTCTGCCATAATTTTTCAGGGTCTCACACTAACTTTTGATGTTTATTGTTGTTTTATATCATCAAAGAGATGCAGACAAACTGTGCAAGAGTTCATATATTGGTGGGAAACTTTTTTGAGGAGGACTTCATCTGTCACTATGTAAAATATCTGAACCTCAAAAGTGAATATGTTGAATATTAGCTGTAACTATATGTATTTCCCAATGATAATAAATGTAAATTCAAAGACGCAAGTTTCTGTTCTTCTTTAGCCAATCAGAACTTAATTTTTGGATGTGCCTTCATACAATTTTTGTATCTTGGTTGAAAACAATACAGTACATTTTATTAAGCAGCCTTAGTAATAATTAAAATGTCATGAATTTGATTAATTAAATATAGTTGGTAAAAAACATTGTAAATAGATTATAAGAAATCATAGTGATACAAAAAAATGAATTAATAAAATTATATTGTATTTTTCAGGATCAACATTCTTCATCACAAATAACAATTGAAAATGGAAACATTTCTAATGTTTATTATATATATAATGTGAAAAAAACTGATGAAAATTGCTATAAATGTGGGATTGAAACTTCTTGTGACAAAGTAGCTGAAGAAATTTGTATTAAAGTATTTGGTAAGATTAATGTTATTCTCAATTTTAATTGTTAATTTTAATTCAGAGAATAATAAATATGAATAATAAGTCTTATTAAAATTTGCATATTCATTTCAAAGAAATAATCAGATAGAAGATAAAATACACTGTATAATTTGGTTATGTAGACTGTACCCTATTATAACCAGATATATAAGCTTGGTATAGCCTTTCTAGGACACACTAACTTTTGAATTAAATTTAATTTCTATCTGCAATAAAACATTTCTAATCATAACGTTCTTACTGTTTTGATGGATGAATATGTAGTTTAAATTACTGAATTAAGATTCAGTGATGACCAAATTAGACTATAAAATTGTTTTACATAAATAACACATTAGTTCATGAATTAAAACATTACTTTTAATCTTTTATATTATAAATATCATATATCTAATGACAGTTTCAAAATTCATTGGATTTGAAAATTTTTAAATGAATTGTGTTTTGATAAAAGAAACCAAGTACAAGATAATATTATAACTTTGTTGATATTATATACCTACCAAAATATTACTTTTTATTTCTAGATAGAATAAAATTTCAAAACAATACAATACAATATGCGAGTTTCTATATCATTCTAGGTTTTTACTCATCTTTATCTCTAAATTTACATCACCATCATTTAAGTTCAATATTATTCTGTGGGAGTTTGGAATGTAAGAGACAAGGTATTCCAACAATTTCAATAAACGAACAGTTTATTACAACAGAATTAACAACCAAGATACTGATGCCCGTCAGAGACGACGCTACATAGATAGATACAATCAGTCTCTGCTCTCGTTCAGGTTCTTACAAGGAATATACTATCGCGTGATCGTATTCTAAAAACTAACTTATAACTAACTTAACCTAATACTACACTAGTAAGAAAAAGAAAGAAGAAGGAAGGAAAAGAGGTAGCTAGCACAGGGGTCCTAATCGGGATGGCCGATAACTATAGGGATTTTATCAGTCGATGTCGGATTATATACCATTCCTTGTATGGTGGTCTTCCCTGGGATTTATGTATATATTCGGCTCTCATCGGAACAAGTCCCCGGTCCTTCTCTGGACTCCTTTCCACTTGGTCCTTTCCGCCTTTTTCTTTGTCGACGAGTTCCAACCAACGATACCGACGATTCGTCCTACACCTCCTCTCTCGGTGTCCAAAACCAAACTGTTCTTTTCTCACCCCTTTGTCTACACTCACCAACCCCACGGGCAAGACCCCACCCTGTCCTCGTTGGCAAAGCCACCAATCAGGACCCACGAAGTTCCCGCTTCTGTCGGGTGACCGGAAAAGGTTATTAGTGGAAAGGAGAAGAATGGAAGGAAAGAACAAAGGAATTCTAAATATAAATATTATAGCTATTCATACAAAATGGTGGACAGCCACATATACATATACAAAATGGCAGACCGCCACAATTCAATAGAAGCTAAGATTAACTAATTACTTCTAAATTATTCCTAAATTAAACTAAACTTTTATCTAGAAAGAGTAGGGAATAATAAGGAAGATAGAAAAGACAAGAAACCAGGTGAAATCATTAATGTTTGTTTACAATGAAAAGAAGAATGTAATCCTTACCAATACTGGTGTTCTAGATATTTTTTGTCAGTTGCCAAAATATTTTAAAAACAAAAATTTACTGTATTCTTTCATATAATTAAGAATTTTGTTTTATGGAGAGTTGAGTAGTCCTTCTCTAATCCACATGGAAACTCACTCCTTCATTCAATGTAAGTTGTCAAATGAATTGGATTGCAAATCTTCTATCACACAATTGTTCTCTGCTTTAACTGCTCTTTTTTTTAACAGAGATTGTCCATGAAGTCCATCTCCATATGCCTTCACACTTCTTCAAGTCTTACCATAAATGTGTATTTTTTCCCTCTTTTTCATGCCTTTTTAAAAATACCATGCTCCCTCTTTTACACCTTATTGGTCAATTCCAACTTTTATGTCACCAAGGCAACAATCTTATTTTGGGTTGATGGAAGAAGAATGGAGGAAGGAAATGAATTCTAAGAAAAAGGATTATAGGAAAGAGACTGACTTAACCTAAACAATTTAATATAAATGTGGTTCTTTCACTTAGAGAAACCACAACTTTTCATGTCAAGCTATTCAAAGAAGTATAAATTAAAAAATAGCCTTTAATTTAATGATAATTTTTATAATTACATTATCTAATAACATACAAAAAAATTAATTCAAAATTAGATGGATAATAAATATGCAATATACTGTATATGTAATAGGTAAGCAACTATATACAAATATTTTTTCTTTTAGTAACAATAATATATTTTTAAGTAACGTTAAAATTTGTCATTAGTAATATATTCAAATTAAACATTCTGTTATTNATAGTAAAATAAAAATATTTTTTGATTTTACAGACACTAAACCAATACCATCTTTTAATCTTTCAACTCATATTGATAAGCCAGTTGTACTAAAAACTGGAGAAAAATTAGTATTGGTCACCTATTTTGATTTATTTCCTCTGGATGCATATGACGAGATAGACTTCTATTGGTATAAGGATGGAAAACAACTGGAAAATAATGATCGTATTAATATTTCTTTGAATCTTCCTAAAAAAAGCACAATAAAAATTTCAAATTTACAGCTATTAGATGGAGGAAATTATACATTTGCTGGAAATACTTCAAAAGAATCAAAAAATATTTCAATTATTGTGCAAATTGAGAGTAAGTTAAGAAATTACATTTAATTTTTAAGTGGATTTCAATTGTTCATATTTTCTTTTCTAAATTAATAAAAACTTCTCTTCATTTCAAAATTTAGAAAAATACAATATTTCAGATTGTTATAAAAATTTTAAAAAATTAAGCTTTTTTTAATCAGCTAACTTTTATTATTCCAAGTGTAATATATATGGTAATAATATTACAGATAATTTATATATTTAATAAATTTTATTACAGATATGATATGCTAGTTTTATTTTAAAGTATCTACTCAAAAAATATATTAATTGTTCAGTATTGAATGAAAATAAATTAGTAAAAGAAAGCTGGCAAGGGCTCTTGCTCAACTTTCCCAGCACTTGGAATAGGGACAAAGAAGTCCAATAATTTTTAATTATACTACGATATAAAATTTGAACAATAATAAAAGCTTAATACAAGGATTAATTTTGTTGAATTATGATATTTTTTAAATAGAAATTTTAAGTTTAAAAAATAATAAGACATATTAGCTCAAAGTTAAAATTGTGTATGACACTATCATGAGATCTTATTAAAAAATAATTTTTATAATATTAATTATTATAAAATGGCAAAAAGCTTAATTTTGGGGGTAGAGATGAGTTTTTAAAAATACCATAAATGCTAATAATGAGTAAAATTTTCATTAAGTCTGATTCCATTTGATACTTGGGATGTGACACGTGACCACCTCTATCTTCTCATCCTCTTGATATTTAACCACCAAAATTTAATAGTATCAATGCCCTGTATATAGAAATAATCCTACTAAGTTTCAAAATTTTTGATTCATCCTATCCTGAGATATAATGCAAAATAGATATCAAAATACATGTACACATACACAGTTTTGTAAGAGCTTATTCACATTTTTGGGCTTCTGAAGTGTCAAAACATTGAGAAATGCAAAAAACTTGGGGAGTCAAAATTTGACTGATCATAATTTCCTTATGTTATATTGAATACTAGTAGCTCGGGATGCCCCCTAATGGGCGTTCTTTACAAATTTCCATGAGGCACAGTTTATTTGACTTTTTTGTTCCTATCAATATGCTCTACAGCTCTGTTAAAATCTGAATGGTAAGATTTACCCTCTGAATGAAGAGGTNATTTTATTAATTATTATAAAATGGCAAAAAGCTTAATTTTGGGGGTAGAGATGAGTTTTTAAAAATACCATAAATGCTAATAATGAGTAAAATTTTCATTAAGTCTGATTCCATTTGATACTTGGGATGTGACACGTGACCACCTCTATCTTCTCATCCTCTTGATATTTAACCACCAAAATTTAATAGTATCAATGCCCTGTATATAGAAATAATCCTACTAAGTTTCAAAATTTTTGATTCATCCTATCCTGAGATATAATGCAAAATAGATATCAAAATACATGTACACATACACAGTTTTGTAAGAGCTTATTCACATTTTTGGGCTTCTGAAGTGTCAAAACATTGAGAAATGCAAAAAACTTGGGGAGTCAAAATTTGACTGATCATAATTTCCTTATGTTATATTGAATACTAGTAGCTCGGGATGCCCCCTAATGGGCGTTCTTTACAAATTTCCATGAGGCACAGTTTATTTGACTTTTTTGTTCCTATCAATATGCTCTACAGCTCTGTTAAAATCTGAATGGTAAGATTTACCCTCTGAATGAAGAGGTGGCAACCCCCCTAAACCGTAGACCCCTGTACTAACAATAAAGTCAAAGGAACCATATCCCTACTCGCGACCCTTTGAGAGATATAAGACCCTGAAATAATAAATTCCTATTACAAATATACTGAATTATTTTTTTTTTTAGTTTAGTTACTTACGCTACTCCTACCCAAGTCTCCCTAGTCCCTAACTGTAACTGATTTAGAACCGGCATGCCCTGCACGTTATTCTTCACATTGCAAAATGACATTGCGCATGCATCACGAACTTCTGTTTGAACAAACCTCACCTGCTGTCTGGGTCAGCAATTTTGAAAAGGTGGCAACACTACCAAATAGCCTTATGGCACAGTGACTAGCTATTAACAAGGACACACGAGTTGAATGACAACTGCCCTATATGAGTACAATGCATTGAATGATGGCCAAAGATGAACCAGTATTAAAACTGGCTATGATCTGGGGTAACGTGGTCTGACAATTATTGATTCCAATTTGTGACAGCCAACTAAGGCCTTGAACATCAATGTAGGGATGTAGGGTTTTTGTCCACAGGAATAATGTGGATTTTTTGTTAGATGCTAGGTAGTCATTGTAAATACTTGATACAATTACACAGGAAAATCCAAATGTAGCAGTCACCTCAGAGATAGAATGGCCTATCCATCTTACATCTACATCCACAACCAATCACTTATATTTTTATTTACCTATGTTTATCAGGAACAGTTTCCTGTTTATGCTATGGGTATTTATTTTCTTATGTTTTCATGTCAATGACAGATGAGGTTTTAATTAACCAAAGGGAATTACAAAGGAAAATATGCTCAATAACATTTATATGTAAGGTAACAACTGCTATTTTACAACTGGTTATTATTAGACAAAAATAAACATTGCAAAAACCTAACATATAGTTTATGGCTATTTTATAGCAGGTGGCCTTGTAATGTAGCCATAAACTATCATGATGTTGACTCCTTTCCTACTGCCTGAAAGTCTTTCTACAAAATATAAAACCCCCTCCTCTCTTCTTACACCATACACCCCTTCCCCCACACACATATTGGGCAATCCCCTGTGTCTTCTCAGCAGTTTGTTGCCTGACAATACCTGTTTAACACCAGTAAAAATGTTCGCACTTTGTGTATAATTTTCTCGCTGGTTTGTTAGTTTTTGCAGTGTTTATTTTTGTCATATGTACAGTATTTTCTTAATAAAGAAGTTATTTTTGCAATTCTCAATTTATTTTCTTTTTTCTTCTTATTTATATTTATATTTTTTACTATTATCACATTTTTATTGAAATACAAATTATAGATAAAACTAACCTTTCCATTAAAAATGTTGCTTTGATAATTTTTAGATTAAAGTAGCATAAGAAAATTTTATTGTTTTCTTATTGGATCAGTATTAATAAATAAAATGCTAAGTGTTGTTTGAATTTTCTATCAACTAAGAATTAGTTTGTTTTAATTGTAAAATTGTTCGAGAATAAAAATAATGTGCTTTTTTGGAATTTTTCGTGATAATTCTTNATTTTATCATATATTTAGTTTAATTTATTTATTATACATAAAAGTTGTAATAAGTTCAAATTCAAACGAATTTCGAACGAATGATTCCATTACAACGAAAACTATTAAAACCTGAAGATGGCCTATACGAATTGGCCGAAAACGTTTGGAATAAACAAAAATAACTCGGCAAAAAAATTCAGGTGTGTGTGATTTATTATTATAAATAGATAACATTGCTGAGAAGGTAGATAGATTGTCTTTAGTAAATACAAAAATTTTTTACTAAAATAAAAGTAATCATACTATATGTACTGTACTTTGCAAATTTTTTCCTATTCTAATGTCCAGTATATATATTTTATCTATTCAACAGATTATGAATATATCAAATATTAATGAAATGATAAATGATGATGATGCTGTCTCACAAATATTATCACAAACAAAATATGTAAAATCATTAGAAAATGAAACAACAAATACAATATGGGCAGAGCATTTAAAAAATCAAATAACTTTAATATGCTAAATTTGTTTTAAAACAATTGTAATATATATAAAAAAGAAAGGATGAAAATATAAATAAAAACATAAATCAAGAAGAATTAATTTAAATGATACAGTGTTGTTAAACTTTTTGTAAGTCAGAAAAAATTATTTTAATCCTTAATTCATTGGTAAAATTTTTCATTACAAATTAAGTAGGGCCCCTTTGTAATGAAAAACTTTATAAAAATGGTGAATGTAGGAAAAATAATTTAATTGACTTAGTAATTTACATGTTTTTTATAATCCATTATACAAATATTAAAAGTGAAAATGTATTAAAATGTGTAGTGCTTCATATTAAATCTTAACTTGGGTTTCTTTTATGTCAGATCTGGTTAGGCTACTGGTCAATTTAAAATTACTTTTAATTTTTATGAATACAACAAGTATTAAACAAATATTTTTGGTTTCTAACTTATAAAGCTATCTTCAGATTAGTAACTTCTAGATTAGTAAATGTAATAAAAATAAATTTGAAATACATATAGATTTTATTAACATATATTCTACGATTTAAATAAAATAATGGTATTTAAATTACAATTTTAAATACAAAATAAAATAGAAAGTTTTTTACACATTTGCTTTCTTCCATGAATATTTGAGAATTGTATTTTGTCCTTCAGAAGCTTTTTATTTGAGATATACTATTATAAAAATATCAGCCAAACCAGTGATGCCAAAACTGAGCTCACCCCTTGGAATGTAAAACAAGTAGAAATATTGGGCTGAATTATTTTTGAAAATATTTTTTTTTATCTGTTTAGAAATAGCTTTATTGTAGTTATTTAAAGTAATATTTATATAAATAATAATAAAATTTTAATAAAATTTATTAATAATGCTCTATTTTTGTAATGTAAATTTTAGTAAATACAGATAACAATGTACCAAACTTAAAATCATTTTCAAATGTTTAACTAAATATTTCCAGATTAACAGTTAGTTTAAAATGTAGCAGAGTTATCCATCAATATTTTATTAAAGCATTTGGCATGTAGTTTAATGTAAATATAATAAAATATGATAGTATTTTTTTGGTTATTTTGTATTACTGCATAAAAGTTTATTATTTACAGGTAAACCAAATATCAATATTACTGGATTATCACAGAATAACTTTTACATGGCTGAAGAAAGACATGTTTTCTTTTGTGATGTTGAAGCAAAACCACTGCCAAATGTTATTTGGTATTGGAAATCATGTAATAGTTACATGACATGTGATAAAAATTGGACATTAGTGGACCCTAATTTAAATCTTCCTAACTTTGATAGACACATGCAAGCTGACATTTCTGATATTAGAAGAATTTGTCGTTTGGAAGTTACAGCTTACCAAACAGGATATTACAAATGTGTTGCTGAAAATATTCATGGTATAGAATTTGAAGAAATGCAATTAATTGTAACAGGTAAAATTATTTAATTTAGTCTATTTTACTAAGCTGTTGATTAATGTTGAAATTTGAAAATTATTTATCTATATATATAAAAATGAATGTATGTGTGTGTCTGTCCTTTATGCATTACCACACCATTTATCCGATTGTTGTGAAACTTTGGGAAGTTGTTTAATATACTCCGGCGAAGGTTTGTGGCCATAGTACAATTGCTACAAAGCTTTGGGAAGTTTTTTAATACACTCCCGCGAAGTTTTCTGGCATTTACCNTTATAAAGCTATCTTCAGATTAGTAACTTCTAGATTAGTAAATGTAATAAAAATAAATTTGAAATACATATAGATTTTATTAACATATATTCTACGATTTAAATAAAATAATGGTATTTAAATTACAATTTTAAATACAAAATAAAATAGAAAGTTTTTTACACATTTGCTTTCTTCCATGAATATTTGAGAATTGTATTTTGTCCTTCAGAAGCTTTTTATTTGAGATATACTATTATAAAAATATCAGCCAAACCAGTGATGCCAAAACTGAGCTCACCCCTTGGAATGTAAAACAAGTAGAAATATTGGGCTGAATTATTTTTGAAAATATTTTTTTTTATCTGTTTAGAAATAGCTTTATTGTAGTTATTTAAAGTAATATTTATATAAATAATAATAAAATTTTAATAAAATTTATTAATAATGCTCTATTTTTGTAATGTAAATTTTAGTAAATACAGATAACAATGTACCAAACTTAAAATCATTTTCAAATGTTTAACTAAATATTTCCAGATTAACAGTTAGTTTAAAATGTAGCAGAGTTATCCATCAATATTTTATTAAAGCATTTGGCATGTAGTTTAATGTAAATATAATAAAATATGATAGTATTTTTTTGGTTATTTTGTATTACTGCATAAAAGTTTATTATTTACAGGTAAACCAAATATCAATATTACTGGATTATCACAGAATAACTTTTACATGGCTGAAGAAAGACATGTTTTCTTTTGTGATGTTGAAGCAAAACCACTGCCAAATGTTATTTGGTATTGGAAATCATGTAATAGTTACATGACATGTGATAAAAATTGGACATTAGTGGACCCTAATTTAAATCTTCCTAACTTTGATAGACACATGCAAGCTGACATTTCTGATATTAGAAGAATTTGTCGTTTGGAAGTTACAGCTTACCAAACAGGATATTACAAATGTGTTGCTGAAAATATTCATGGTATAGAATTTGAAGAAATGCAATTAATTGTAACAGGTAAAATTATTTAATTTAGTCTATTTTACTAAGCTGTTGATTAATGTTGAAATTTGAAAATTATTTATCTATATATATAAAAATGAATGTATGTGTGTGTCTGTCCTTTATGCATTACCACACCATTTATCCGATTGTTGTGAAACTTTGGGAAGTTGTTTAATATACTCCGGCGAAGGTTTGTGGCCATAGTACAATTGCTACAAAGCTTTGGGAAGTTTTTTAATACACTCCCGCGAAGTTTTCTGGCATTTACCCTACGATAGATGGCGCGCGTTTACACGAGCATTCGCGCGCAGTGTGTTTGATCAATTTCAAATTGTGAAGACCATTTCCTCTCCTTCAAAAAATATCTCTATATATGCATTTGTGAACTGTTATTTACGATATTCGTAATAATTTTTGTTTAATCACTTTATTTCAATTTTTTTTTTTTTTTTGCTAATTACGTATTCGCTCGAACTTTGTTAAAATCTTAACTGTATCCCGAACAACAACCGAAGTTGTAGGAGGAAATTTGCCTATTTTACCGATCTATTTTACAAATTTTAATATCAACTCAAAATAATTTAAAAAGACAAATTACAATAAAACAGTTTATTATCCAACTATCAGAAATTTCACAATATGCCAAGGAAGAGAGGAAGGAGCAATTAAATAATTAAAATTATAAAGGATTAAAAATATATATATAAAAATGGGGAATATCGCGCTTCTGACAATCGCTGCAAGTGTGTGGGGTAAATTTGGAGAATCCGTGCTTCTTGCATGGACAACTATATGTGGCCAGCTCACGCATCAGAAATCCTTCTGATTTATTCGTGTACGCACCAGACAGAAAAACAAAAAATATTGTGTATCCACAAGCACTCCAACAAATAAATAGAATTGAAACAATGCTTTGAAATGTTTTCCTGATGAAAAATAATAATAATAAGTTTCAATAAAAATGATAAAATGTAAATTGAATTTTATTATAACGAGTTTGCTTGAATTTCATTTCTTCTGAGATCGCAGCAATGCGCGATGGGTAAGCTAGTTATTTATAAAAATGATTACAATGTCAATATTAGTCAATAAAGTATTTAAATGTAAATCATTTTTGTTAAGTTTATTGATAGACATTTATTGCAATGAAAATAGTACAATACAAATATATCAGGAAAAGACCACTTATTCAAATAAAGCATATTTTCTTAAAAATACGTCTATGTTCAGAAGAATTTTATTAGAATTAAAGTATTTATATATCAGTATATTTTAAATATTTATATGTAAATTTAAAAATATTTTTAATAGAAAAATAAGAAAAAATTGTTGTGACATCATCACAATGCTGGGATGCAATTTTTAATTGTGTTTTTAATTTATTTAATTTAAAATGTATATTCTCAATCTCAAATTAGTAGTGTCTTGCCCAGTGTTGCTACCTTTTCAAAATGCTGGCCCAGACAGGGTCAGCAATTTTGAAAAGGTGGCAGCATTGTCTCAAACAAGACATAACCATTTTTGAAATTTGTTTTGTGTTAGCCAATCTTTATTAAATTTATAAGTTTGCTTCCTCTTTTTTGGGTTTTCAATTTCTTGAGTTATCATATTAAATAATTAAAATATAAATTATAAACTTGTAAACTGAAACTGTCATATTTGCTTTACAATATGTTTGTTCCAACACAAGTCCCTGACTGGTTTGAATTTGAAACTGTATGAGGCATGCACAATGTCATTTTACAGCCAAGAACTGAACAATGTGCATGCCAGTTTTAAACCAGTTAGGGACTTATGTTGGAACAAGCCTAATATTTGCCAGAGATATTCGCAAGTTAGAATTTTAAAAGTACATTTTCTGTCACTCTTAGCCTAGGGATAAGATGGGGGTATGAAGTCTTTAACCGTTAAAATAAAATATTTACAAATATTTTTATAAATGTATTTTGTTTCATTATAATTTCACAATTTATACAAAAACTGGACAAATTAATAATTAACCCAGACCATGAATTTAAAAACTGGTTTGTCCGGATGAAAACGGCCTGGTGGCAACACTAGGCCGTTTTCATCTTGTCTTGTCAACGGCCTGTCTTGCCCCTGTACATCATACTTTACTTGGTAACAACAGAGTTGTGCCAGTCATTTATGTAACTCTGTTCAGGGGAATTTTTTGAATTGAGATCAATAATTTCAAGTTTAGACTGGAAGTTCCTATATAGTTAATCCAAGTCTCCTGTGCCTAAGCTTTCCATATCTGGTTTGACTTTCATCCATCTAACTCTGTTTTGGAGATTAAGGAAGGACAGACAGATAGACAGACTGACAATACTGGAAATTTATAGGTCTACAATTTTTTCAAATTGCAGCCCAAAAATGTATTAATCATTCAAACATGTTTAAGCATATTTACTCCAATTATTAATTAATAAAAAAATTAATGTTGAAATTATAAAAGATTTGTAAATAAGTGATCAACATAAAAAGTTTAATGATATATTTAAAGCAAATAAGCTGTTATTTCTTATCAAAGCTACATGTAAAATGCAATGGAAATTTATTAATATTGAATCATGTATATGTGAATGATACATTAAGATTGCCATAGACCTTTTGATATAAACCAGAAGATTGAGGGCAAATCCGTCTACAGTTAGGATTATTGTTTGTACAGTGGAACCTCGGTATACGACCTTAATCCGTTCCTGGTGTTTGGACTTATACCAAATAGGACCTATACCAAACCAACCTTTTCCATAAGAAGTAATGTAAAAATGATTAATCCGTTCTCATGTAAAAAAGTGGCTGGCTTTAAACACCTCGCTTTCCTCGCTAGTTTCTTCTTGATTTTTCATGAGATCAGCATGTATCCCTTTAACTTTCTCGCAAATAATTTCTTCCGATACGCTGTCGCCGGCACACTGTTTTTCAGTTATCCAAAGCAAAAGCAATTTCTCGGCATGATCTAATATCTTCGATCTCTGTTTAGAAATTCATTTAACCCCTTTCGCAACGTTAGCAGATTTAATAATGTTTTTATTTTTCACGATTGTCGATATCGTCATTCTTGGAATACGGAATGCAACAGTTAAATCTCAAACACGCGTGCCACCTTCATATTTCTCAACAATCTCTTTTTTCAGTTCCGTTGTGATTCTAGTCATTTTTTTTTATTTTTCTGTAGCCCTTTTGCAATTCATGATTAATAAAAATAATAAAATGTTACTTACAAATTAAAATCAGAAGAAATTTAACAAAGTTATAAACC